AAAAAAAAAAAGAACCCAAAATCCCCCCAACCCAAACAAAAGAAAAGCAAACTCTTACAAATGAAGGGGCTTAATATTTTAGGTATATTTTTTCAGCTAACTGTTGCACCAAATTTTTGGTTTTGGTATAAACTTGTAACTGAATGCTTAGTTCAAGAATATGTCAACGTATACAGTAACCACTTGTGTATTTGGATATCATTATATGGATAAGAAATTATGCATTTATGCTTAAGTATGTCATGTTAAGTACCTGACTCCCAATACTACACAACTATGTTCGTAACAAGCGCACCTGAATTTTGTACACTCATTGTTGACTATGCTCCACGTAACTTGTTTGTGGAGATACCAACTTCTAGATTGTTTATGCAGGTGAATGACAAGGATCTAGCTAAAGAGTTGTGCAAAAAGTACAGTGCGGTAAGTACTTTGGTTCACAGCTCTTCCTCTCTGTTATAAGCTTAAGGAACCAAAGATAGGAGATAGTCAAGGTCTTCTGGTTTTTCCTATGAGCATTCTAGTTCTTGTGATTTTTCTTAGATGCATGTATTCTGCTTTTGGTTATAAATTCTCTAGTTCTAGGAGTTCACTCAAGGACTCTATTGATATTTATCTGAGTTAGAGGGACACCTTTTAGTACTGGTGTAAATTATCTCTTTTAATGGTTAAGTGCCATAATCTAAGACTAACACGTGTGCAAGCTGCTCCTTATTTCTGTTTTCTTCTCTAAATTTGTGTAGCTTTTCTTAACTAGTGTTGTGATTAGCCCTTGTCCTTTTTTGGTTTTTGCTCAAATATTAATTATTCCAGTAATTCCTTAGTGCTGTTTTTATAATACAGTTACCTTTCTCTCAAAAAGGCCCTTGTCTTTCCTCTTCCTGGGCAGATTCATAGGCGCAAAGTTCGTGCATGGCATATGATATGCATTTTGTCACGGTTTATTGATCAAGATATAGTCCAACAAGTTACCTATAACTTGCATGTATCTCTCTATGTAAGAACCTCTGCCTGGCAATCTCTTATTTGTTCTTTTTCTGATTGACTGTTATCGCCACCAGAAAGAAGGAAAAGAAAGAGCCCAATTTTACTTACCAGTTGTCTTAGGATAAAAACATTACTGGATTTGCATAACTCTGGGTTTGGAGATGTTTGTGCTAGATATTCATAGATGTCTTCAACTACCCTTTCTAATTGCACACTGTTTCTTTTCCACTGAAAATTTGGAAGTTGCTAGCTATTCTACATAGCTCTATACTACTTTACCTTGGGCATCTCATTTATTGGGTATTCCAGAATTTTTTAAGCACATCTACAAATAAGAAATAGATTCTATTGGATACCAACATTGTGGTGTAGCTACCAGACGAGCAGTAATTATGACAATTATTCTTGTTATAATATTTTTGCAATAAATACATTATTTATAGGGTGCTCGAAGTCTAGCTATAATTGTAAATTTTCATAAGATTTGGATGACTATCCACTAACTGTCGCATGGAGTATCTGGAAGAATGAAATGGGAGATGCTTTGAAGAGAAAAAGGAAGTGATTCATGCTGTTAAATAACATAGAATTTGCCCTTCCCAAACCCCATTCTTTTTCCCCTCCCTCCGCAAAAAAGAACAAAAGAAAAAAAGGAAAAGAAAAAGGATTCGACTCAGGTAGTGTTAGGTCAAAATTCTCAAGGGTTTCATTAGCATCTGCTGCTTCATGCAATATATACAGTTTTGTGACATATTTGTACATGAAAGCCAATATCTCTTTTTGGGTAATGGATATAGTGTCCATATGTGCTCAAGTGATTGACGTCTATATCGAGCAGTTCCATTGCTGATCCTAATGACTCTGACTGTTCTTTTCCATGTAGAGAAATAATTTCCCTTCGGTTCGGCAGTATTTGGAAACTTTTGCGATCCATGTCTACTTGAACTTCCCGTTGCTGGTATGGAATTCTCTGATAAATTCATAAGATTGGATTTTTCTGTGTTGTGCCATTTGACGTTTTGATCTTTTGGGTGATGACTAGGGTTTATTTTTCCTTATTATGTAGTATTCTCTTTTTCCCTGAAGTTTATTTTTATTCTCTTCATGTTTTTGTTTTTGTTTTCTCTTTCTATATGTACGAATTTCTGAATATGTGAATATCCTGGGCAAGTAATTATCCTAATGTTTCAAATGTTCCTTCTTTCTGCCAGCAAGGAAAATTAAGTGCAACGTGTTATAATAAATAAGCTTTTCCCCCAAGGTTAAGATATTATCTTGCTGTTTCTATTCCTCTTTCTTGAGGAAAATTCAATTTTGGTCCCTTTATTAACTTTGTTTGCTCTATCTGTCTCCTATTATTATACTTAAGCTTTAATCTATTGAACTTTTTAAGAGTTGTCCAACTTTAAATGTAACTAAATAATTGGGCATTGACCAGTTAACAGCCCTTTTAAGTGGCACATACGTCTTTTAGGTAAAGGGAATAGTGGTTTGCATAGGCGTGTGACATAAGTGATGACACTAGAAATGAATGAGTCTACCCAAAGGTGGCACACAGAAACCACATAGTTATGGGTTAACAGAGCTGTTAGAGTTAGCTAATTCCATTCAAGATTGAATTAGATTTGCAAAATTTGATAAAAGTGAAGGTTAAATGTGCGAGATGGATAAGGTTGGGACACAAGTGCTAATATAGCAGAATTTAAGGACTAAAATTGTATTTCCTCTTTTCTGGCTATGTTGATCCGTAAAGATGTGAAGCCTTTGAGGATTAAAAGATATGAATACTTTTCTGGCTACGTTGATAGGAAAAGAAGATTCATTCTGCATTAGTGGGGAAAGGAACTGAAACCCAGGATGGACTAGATGTCTTATGCTAGCTGGTTTTGCAGCATCAACGAGAATACAGTTACTCATTTTTGCTAAATAAGAAATCTACAGTTACTCTTGAAGCACAATAAAAAACCCACTTTTTGCCGCTCTAATGCAATTGACAAGCAGCAAATGTTGAACTATCTTTACATGTTAGTGTGGCATGAGAATTGTGCTGGTGAGAGGTAGCATTTACCCGGTGGAATTAATCGAGATGCTCGCAAGCTGGTCCAGAGACTCCCGTCATTAAAAAAAAAATGTTTGTGTGGCATGAAATTACCCAATCATTGCCGACTGCCGAGAAAACAATGCTCCATAACATTTTACCTTTCATACCGAACCTAAATACTTCAATTCAGGCCAGTTGATCTAGAAATAGCTGGAATGCTGAAGCGTCCCGATATTACCAATAGGATCCCTTCTATAATCACAGGGAAAAGAGTGCTTACCAGAAGTCAGAACAGATGATTATGATTCTTACCATTGTCTTTACGCATGAAACAGAAATGAGTAAAAAGCTTATTCAATTTGTGTACTTGTGACCAGTTGTGTGTTAAAAGTCACTAGAGTCAAAGACAATCTCAAAGTTTTGGTGGTGATCAGAGCCTCTGGTTTCCATACAGCTAAGTAGAAGTGTTCATGCAAGGCAAACCTAAAGGGAGTAAAACGACTTGACAAAGAAACATCTACAAGTGTCTGGCATGAAGCTGAATACAACGCATAAGCTTATACTTTTACAGACGAATATTCTTTAAACTTTGCAACAACAACAACAACAACATACCCAGTATAATCCCATAAGTGGGGTCTGGGGAGAGTAGTGTGTACGCAGACCTTAGCCCTACCTGGCGAGGTAGAGAGGCTGTTTCCAATAAACCCTCGGCTCAAGAAAAGGTGAAAAGAGAGAGAGGAAGAGACGAAGAAGAAAGAAAGAATAGGGGGACAAAGGACGATAAGGAGAAGGGGAGAAAGACAACTATAGTAACAACAACAACAACAACAACAACAACAACGAAACCAGTAACAAAAAATAGCATCAAACAACAACAGACTGGAACATACGATACACAGAGTGGATGAAAAAAAACAAGGGAGCTACTAATACTACTAAAAAAGAACGGGGAACTCTCGACTACCTACTAGCCAACTACCTTAATCTTTGACCTCCACACCCTTCTATCCTGGATCATGTCCTCAGTGAGCTGAAGTAGCGTCATATCTTGCCTAATCACCTCTCCGTAATACTTCTTCGGCCTTCTTCTACTCCTCCTCAGCCCCGCTACGGCCAACCTCTCACACCTCCTAACAGGAGCATCCGTACTCCTCCTCTGCATGTGCCCGAACCATCTCAGCCTCAACTCCCGCATCTTGTCCTCCACGGGGGTCACTCCCACTTTGTCCCGAATAACTTCATTCCTAATCTTATCTCTCCTGGTATGCCCATACATCCATCTCAGCATCCTCATTTTTGCTACTTTCATCCTCTGAACATGGGAGTTCTTGACTGGCCAACACTTAGTCCCATACAACATAGTAGGTCTAACCACCACTCTATAGAACTTACCACACATGGGAGTTCTTGGTGGCACCTTCTTATCACACAAAACACCGGATGCGAGCCTCCATTTCATCCACCCCGCACTAATACGGTGGGAGACCTCATCATCAATCATTTCTGCTACTTTCATCCTCTGAATATGAGAGTTCTTGACTGGTCAACACTTAGTCCCATACAACATAGTAGGTCTAACCACCACTCTGTAGAACTTACCTTTTAAGTCCTGATGGCACCTTCTTATCACACAAAACACGGATGTGAGCCTCCATTTCATCCACCCCGCACCAATACGATATGAGACCTCATCATCAATTTCCCTGTTACCCTGGATTATAGACCCGAGATACTTGAAACTACCCCTTCTTGGGATGACTTGGGTATCAAGCTTCACGTCCACGTCCGCTTCATGAGTCTCGTCACTGAACTTACACTCCAAATATTATGTTTTGGTCCTGCTCAACTTGAAACCTTTAGATTCTAGGGTCTGCCTCTAGACCTCCAGCCTCGCATTGACCCCGCTCCTCGTTTCATCAATCAACACTATGTCATCGGCAAATAACATGCACCATGGCACCTCCCCTTGAATGTGTCGCGTCAGCACATCCATCACTAGAGCAAATAAGAACGGGCTAAGAGCCGATCCCTGGTGCAACCCCATCACTACTGGGAAGTGATCTAAGTCACTTCCCATTGTCCTCACCCGAGTCTTAGCACCATCATACATGTCCTTGATTACCCTAGTGTAAGCTACCGGAATGCCGCTAACCTCCAAACATCTCCACAGAACCTCCCTCGGAACTTTATCGTACGCCTTTTCTAGGTATATAAACACCATGTGTAGGTTCTTCTTTCTCTCCCTATACTGCTCTACCAATCTCCTCACCAGATGAATGACTTCCGTAGTCGATTGCCCTGGCATAAATCCAAACTGATTCTCGAAAATAGACACACTCTTTCTCACCCTGACTTCCACAACCCTCTCCCAAATTTAAACTTTGCCAAAACACATAATTTGTCTTTGTCATTCTTCATCTTTTAATGGGCATGGTCCCATTCTATATGAACGAACCTGCCATATGAAAGTTGATTCTGAAGTGTATTAATTGCTTCCTTATACTCAACAAGTAGTTTTTTATTTTTTTTTTCAAATTGTAGCAAGTTTCACCTGTTCATGTGCCCACCTGATCCATATAGCCACTTTAGAGAATATTTTGTTGTTGTAACTCTGATGCACAATATTACTTTATGTGCATGGGGCCCGTAACAGGTTGGCAGTCTTTATGCAATTTGCTATTTCCGAACCACATGATTAGCTATTTAGATCCATATAGAAATCACTCATTTTGAGTCAGCAGATTCCAAAATTCAGAGTTTTCTCCTCCTTAATTTAGGTAGAAGGACACGTTCATTTGCGTCCATGTTAGATATGTCAGTATATTGTTTCAGATGGAGATTGTTGGGCATATTTGTTGAAATGTAATTAAGTAAATAAAAATGTGCATTCTCTAACAACTTTAACTTTTAAAGGAGATGGTCACACAATTCAATATAGTATCGGACTAATTGGAGATTCGGAGTCAGACTCTACTCTATTCTTGGTTTCCCTTATGCAGGGTTCCCTTGTTATGTTGTTCATGCTCTATATGTTTACTCATTATCAAAAAGAATTTTTGGGCATATGAAAAAAGTCAGGCCCGCACATGAGGGGTGCATTGAAACATAATTAATGAAAAAAGCACTCTCTAATAATTTAAACTTTTAGATGAGATGGTCACAATTTAATATGGTATCAAAGTCGGACTCACTTTATTCTTGGTTTCCCTAATGTGCAGCTCCCATGTTATGTTGTTCGCACTCTATATGTTCACTCATTATCAAAATGAATTTTTATGCATATGAAAAAGTCATGCCCTCACATGAGGGGCGCGTTGAAACATAATCAAGTTAAAAAATGTGCACTCTAACAATGTAAGCTTTTAGATGAGATGGCCACACAATTCAATATTATGGATATATTGACTTTTGCTGCACATGCAATATTGATTTAGTATGAGATTAGCTTTCCCGCAAGTCTATGATACCTCTACAGAATTACTCCATCCCTAATTATTACGGAGTTGTTTTCTTGAGTTAATGATGATTGTATCTGTTGAATAAATATTCTCAATAAATTTCAATTGTTGAAAGTCAACAAAATCATAAAGAATGTTGCGTATAATGTTCTTACTGATTATGTCATACTAATTAGGAATCCAAGAATTAAGAAACTTATCTTATTTTATGTACCCCAAAACTCCTATATGAGGAGCCTTCTTGTAAGTACTAAGTTAACTATCAATTTCACATGAGTTTCTCTCTTTCTTCTTTCCCGAGCATCTTTTATTCATTTAATAGATGAGGGTTTCAGTCTTGTTCAATTTTCTTTTGCAGGTCGGGCAAGAATTAGTACCGTTGCTGCGAGATTACAATATGCGGCCTCAGGTGAGATCTTTCTCATTCCACTTTTTAGTATCTAAGTTGTTAATACTTCATATTTACAGATAACTTGAAATGGTACTACAAAGGTAGCATGATCCCTGTGCAAGGATGACATGCACTGAACAATAATGGATAAATAGTCACATTTTTTAGTCCTTTTTAAGACTTTTGTCCCTTAAAAATGCCCTCACAATTATTTATTTTTTTATCTGGATTTTGTGGTCGAATTTGTGTAAAGAAAACTTCACGGAAAAGCTTGTACTTAGAAAGGGGGTACAACAAAATGTTACCATCTCAAACAAAAAAAAAAAAAAAAAAAAAAAAAAAAAAAAAAAATAAGAAAGAAGAGGGGTACATCATCCTTTAATTGGCGACAAGACTTTAAAATTGTAAATCCTTGTTTCTGCTGGACGTAGTAGTTCTTTTTATTCTTCCGCTTAAGAATATAATATATAATCCTGCTACAACATTCATTGTTCCGAGACTGATCTTCGAAGCAGGAAACTGTTCATTTGTAATAAACTAACAATGAAAGCTTGTGCAAATTTTATTTTATATTAAACAATGTACTGATATGAAAAATTGAAGAGGCACTGGAGGAGGGGACCAGCATATTAATCTCTTTGTTTGCTTGGTTTAATAAATTAGCACAACTTCCAGTCAGTTCAATTTTAAGGGAAAGAAGTACCCTCCCCTCATAGGATAAGGGGTTTGAAAATGCAACTGTTTGATGCACTGGCCAAATTGTGATTTTTCAAACTGTCATACATGTCCATTTTTGAGGTAGGTTAAATATAGCTTCAGAAACTCAAGAATTTGGCAAGTATCTTCATTTGGTGTACTGAAGTAAAAGTCAATGTATACTAATTTACTTTGTTATCATGTGACTTATCAGAAAATCTTATATCTTTGTCAAAAAACTTTGTTATAATGCTACCTTCGATTGTACTAAATTTAATTATCCACTAGCTATGAAGAAAACATCACCTTATATTTTATCGCTATTGCAGGCTTTATCTTCCTATGTGTTTATAGCTGCAAATATCATCCTTCACTCAACTGAAGAGTACAAGTCCAGGCATCTGAGTGCTTTACTGCCTTGTATAATTCCTTTGTTGACCTCACACCATCATACACTACGTGGTTTCACCCAGGTTGGTTACTTTGTGTTGTGGATTTTGTGGCCTTTGCTTAGCATATTAATTGGCGCTATGATTTTGAATGTGGATGTTTAGAAGGGGAGCCTTGGCAGAACTGTAAAGTTGTTGCCATGTCACGGGTTCAAGTCGTAGAAACAGCCTCTTGCAGAAATGCAGGGTAAGACTGCGTATAATAGACCTTTGTGGTCCGGCCCTTCCCCGGACCCTGCGCATAGCGGGAGCTTAGTGTACCGGGCTGTCCTTTTTTATTTTGAACGGGGATGTTTTCTTGTTGTTTTGCAGTTATTAGTGCTTCAAGTTCTTCAAAAATTGTTGCCATCAGATTCTAGTGTCTATGCAACCATGACTTTAGAGGAAAGATGCTTTCAAGATTTGAGATCGTACTTGCAAGATAACCCTGACTGTGCACGGTAAGTTGTGTTGTATGAGCTTCTCTAAGATAAAAATTCTGTTTTTACTTTTCATTCCATTGTTTTCCCTTTAGCATAGACAAAAGACACTGTCTCACACAGTAATGTATGTACAAAAATTAGAACAAACTGGGAACTCAGTTAATCCCACAAGTGGGGTCTAGGGAGGGTAGTGTGTACGCAGACCTTACTCCTACTTGGTAAACAAACATGGATTGAGAAAAAAAGTATATATCGACACGGAGCAAAACAGGAGTTATGGTCTTAAATCCTCTATCACCAAACTGAAATTTAATATGTGATGACTCTAGAAGAACTTCACTATAGGACAGATTGCTTTTGAAAGGGAGGGAGGTAGAACTGCATTATAGGACAGATTACTATTGAAAGGGAAGGAGGTCACCGGATGTTAGGTAAGTTGGAAAGCAAACATATATCGTTCCCCTTAAAAACCTAACTGGTTTGTAACTAATAAATGGACGTTGGGCCTAACTCAACCTCAAAAGCTAGCTTAAGAGGTGAGGATTGCCCAAGTCCATATAAGGAGACCACCCATCCCCTTCATTGTCGATGTGGGACTCAACACCCCCGCTCACACCAGGACTGGACATCTGGAGCGTGGACAATTATAGAGGCCCAACATCGGGAAATCGGGATGGGTCCTGCTCTAATACTATGATAAATGGACCTTGGGCCTAACTCAACCTCAAAAGCTAGCTTAAGAGGTCAGGGATTGCCCAAGTCCATGTAAGGAAACCATCCATCCCCTTCATTGTCGATGTGGGACTCAACAGTAACCAAAACATCTTTAACCAAATATACCTATGAGATATTAAGCATATACATATATCATTCACGTTGGAAATCTAAATGCTTTACTGCTGAGATATTTGAGCAAAGTAGCCTGACGTGCTTTCCAAATTTCTCTCATATCATACTGCATTCGATACACTCTGAGGATTAGCTTTATGGTGTTATCCAGTGTGCAGAAAATATAGTGATATCTATATTATGTGTATAGACTTGAACTAAACATTTGTTTCTTTCTATCACAGGTTAAGAGCATCAATGGAAGGTTACCTTGATGCTTTTGATCCAAAGAAGTCGGTCACACCAGCTGGAATTTTCAGTACTAGAGTTGAGGTGAGGGATATTGCAAATTGGTCAAGGCTTAGAGTGTCATCTTTCCTGTGGCAGATACATAGGCCTCATTTGTTTTTTTAAGATTAAGACGTCTGAATCTGAATACACATCTGAATATCAAGATGTGTATTAAGATTAAGACATATGAATCTGAATATATTAAGATGTGTATTAAGATCTGAATACTAAATAGTTAAGACTGTTTGATTTTTAACATATGAATGTATAAAATTTATCTTTATTTGAAAATTAATAAACATAATATTCAAATGATATACTAACTAATCTATCAATAAAATATATCGTTTTTAAAAATATGATAGTTGTTGGTGGTGATGGCTAATGGGTGAATGCCGACTAGAGGCGATGGTTGGTGGTAGTTTTGGTTGATGATGGTGGTTCATGCTAGTAGCTAGTAGTGATTGGTAGTGGTGGCGATTATGATTGAGGATGGTGGTGGTGGGTGGTGATAGTTAATAAGTCGGGTGGTGGTAGTAGTTGTGACTGAGGAAGGTGGATGGTGGGTGGGGGTAGGTTATAATAATGGGCAGTGCCGCCTTTGGTTGTTGATGATGATGGGGTGGTCAGTTGTGGTAGTTGAGGTGGATGAGTGTTGATTGTGGATAAGAATGATGGTGGTCGGAGTGGTGGGGATAGTGGGTGGTGATGGTCGATAATGGTGGCGGCTATGATCGAGGATGATGGTGGCGTGGTGGTGGTGGAGGTGGTAGTGGTGGTTGAGTATGGTGGTGGTGGCGGCGACATGGTGGTAGTTGATAATGGTAGGCGGTGACGGCAGTTAATAATGGATATGTGATAGCATCTTAATGAAATTAAATCTCTATTATAGATCTTAATCATACAGACCTATTCAGACCCATTAAGTGGTTGTGAAGTAAAAAAAACAAGCACACTTAGTGATTAAGATCTGAATAATTAAGATTCAGACTTTAAAAACAAACGCACTTAATATTTGAGATCTGAATGATTAAGATTCAGACCTCCATTAAGTGCAAACAAATGAGGCCATAGTAACATTGGGAAGATTTTGTCCTTAATTGCCCTGCCTAATGGCTTGACGTGAACTAATATGATTATGCTAGGAAGTTGTCTCTGTGATTGCCCTGCCTAACTTCTTAATGTGAACCACATGTATTTTACCCTTGCAGTTTCAGAAGCACTGAAACTTTAATTTATCAATCATTGTGGTATGACCATTAATATGAGCATAAACTTGGCTAGTTCCTTAAAAAGCTTTAATCAACAATAATAAAACAATTCCCTTTATTAGCTGAAGTTGAAAGCAATTATATTGCTAAGTCAGGTATAGCAACCATATCTGCCAGTGTTGTCTTTGCCAACTATCTATTTCTAATTTCTGAAAGCATAATGTCCTTTTTTCCTTACTGGTGATATATGTAGGAACTTGAATTCGAATGTGTACCAGCAACCCTAATGGATCAAGTAATTAATTTTCTAAATGTAAGTGCTCACTTTCGCTATTTCATTGTATTTCGTGGTTTTGTTGCTCACTTCCCTTATTTCCAGGGGACTAGGGAGGATCTCAGATGCTCAATGGCCAAAGATGCAGCAGCTATCAAGAATGAAAGCTTGCTTGTTGACGATGATGGAAAGTGCAAGGAGATAACTGGAAATCTTACCGAAGGGCAAACAGTTCTGCCGCTGCAAGATATATCACTAGATTTCCAAAGGAAAATTACTGTTTCCAAACATGAAATGCAAAGTATTGATTCTACCGTCTTGTTGGAAAATGAAGGACCATTAAAATCACTACTAGGTAACTGGATTCAATACTAATTTCATATTGCTAGGCATCACCAATTTGGTATGAGAAGGTGAATTAGACAGATAATCCGTTCGATCAGTAAGTTCATTGCTAGTGTAGTTTAGCTTGTGTGCTTGTCACTTGCGCCATGAACGTACTGTGCTTTCCTGGAATGTCCTCCCCATCCATTCCCTCGAGGAAAATTTCGTCTTGCTTTTTTTATCTCAGCCTTGTTTCTATGTTAAGTGTCCCACATTGTTTAAGGTAATGAGTAGTTGTCTCCTTATATAATCTTGGATAGTCCTGTCCTGGGCTGGCTCCTTTTGGTTGAGTTAGGCCCAAGGTTCATTTTCTTAGTATGGTACCAGAGTCGGACCCGTCTCAATTCTTGGTTTACGCAATGTTGGATTCCCATGTTATGTGTCCGCACTACATATGTCCACCCTTGGGCATGGTGGGGGGCCTGTGTTTAATGTTTCACATTAGTTGAGAGAATAGGCTGTAGTCTCCTTGTAATTTGTATGGTCTTAGGCAATAGAGTAGAGATGGATTATCCACCGTCAAATCACATTTGTAAGAGGTTATTAGTGAGAGGAATGGATTTTCCCTCATTGCTCTACTTGGATTCCCGGAGCTCCAAGAAAGGTATGTTTCTTTGTGTGGTTGGTGGCAAGGGAAGTGATTTTGACAGCAGAAAATCTGAGAAAAATGAGGATCACGTATGCAGTTGGTGCTTCATGTGTAAAAGCTTGGATGAACATGTAGATCATCTACTATTGCATTTTCAAGTGGCTAATCGTTTGTGGAGGGCGGTTCTTAATTTGTTTGGGGTGCGATGAGTGATGCCGGGTTTAGTGAAGAAGGCGTTGGATAGTTGGGCTCACAAGAGGGGAGAGAGAAGTCCAAGGGCATGGAGTGTTACCCCCATAGCAATCATATGGGTTACTTGGAAAGAGAGAAATAGGAGGGCATTTGAAGGAGTGGAACAAGAGTTTGTAAAACTACAAAGTAATCTTTTGTTTCTAGTTTCTTCTTGGTATTCTCATGAGGTCCCTATTTGTATAGATGATTGGATGTAGGGGTGGGCGTCGGTCGGTTCGGTCGGTTATTATGAAAGTACAGTTCGGTTTATCGGTTTTCGGTTTTGTAATATTAATAACCAAACCAAACCAAAGTATTTACGGTTCGGTGCGATTTTTTCAAGGTTCGGTTCGGTTATTTCCGGTTTAGTTTTTCGGTTATTAACGGTTAAGATTTTAATATCCGGTGTAGACTACGAATCTTTAATTGCAGCAAACTTTTTCTGTTTCTAGTTGGCAGCATCCGATATAAACAACATCAATAGCTACAAGAGTTGAACTTGTACCAATATTAATTACCTGAATAAAGAGCAACATGGATTATCAAATAAGTCAACACTAGCTTAGCAGCTTTCTGCATGTAGAAAAGTATGTGCACTTGCATATCATTCCAGCAAATAAATTAAACTGAAGTGCTAAAGAAATAAATGAATCAATCTTTACATAAATCATACGTAAAAGATTTCCTTCCAATCGTACAAGCTAAGAACAAATGAAACTACAAAACAAACTAATTAAAAAACAAACTACAACAGCAGCATACATCTCAAGCATACCTCTACCGCAATTCGGTTTTTCGGTTTAACCGAAAACCGAACCAGTAAAACCGACCACCGAACCGAACACCGAACTTTTTAAAACTATAAACCGCAAACCGACCGAATAAATCGAAAAACCGAAACCGAATAAGCCGAATTTTTTGGTTCGACCGGTTTTTTCGGTTTGGTCGGTATTATGCCCACTCCTAATTGGATCTCCTTTGTTGAGAACTATATTTTTGGTGTAGGTTCTCTTCCTTTGGTATACGGCTTGTATACGAGGTTTCTCCCAATTGTTGATAAAATTATTTACCTTATAAAAAAAGGGTCTTAGGCAATCTTCCCCTTATGAGCTAGTTTTTCTGAGTTGAGTTTGACCCAAGGTCCATTTCCTTAACATTCTGAAACTACAGAAAAGGATGGAAACGAAAGGAAAGCGTAGAAAATTTTCCATTCCCTTGTTCTCTTTTAGGTAACTGCCAAAGTTTTTGACTTATTCGTCGGTTGTGACGCCAAACATGAAGATGCTAACTCTTAAATTTCTTCACTTCTATGCTGGATAGAATATCTGAGTATAACAGTTCATGCCATTAAGATTACCAGCTTGAAGTTTCTTATTCCTTGTCAGCTTATACTTACCTTGGTATGTGTTTAATTTTGTTGTCGTGCCATAAACTTGGAAGTTATGGACTTCTGCAATTTTTAATCAAGGCCTAGAATTGAATTGGTTCTTCGACAAAATGGAGATACTTGTTCGCAAAATTGGAATTACATGATTGTTGATGCACGTTAGCTTTGTTAGAGGTTTCACTAGTTTCTGTTTATGTAAAGTTTATCTGCTCCTTCTGATGTCATAGAAAGGCTGCCTTAATGTAACTTATCATTTATACCTGCTTGTCACTGACAAATAAAGCTCAAACTCCATTGCTAGTCTTTGAATACAATATATATGTAAGCTTAACCTTAATTCTGATGGGACTCTGTCAACCCTTCAGGAGTGATGTGCTGCAGTAATATGTTAAGTAACCATGTGAACTTGTATGATATATAACAGTTGTTATGTGCTGAAAGTTATAAGAAGGGTATTTCCCTCGCTTTCCATAATTTACATCTCAAGTATTCTCAAGATTTATTTCATTGATTATCCTACTTGGTTCTTTTGTGTAAATACAGACATAGAAAAGGAAGATCAGCTTCTTGATCAGTTGCTGCACTTAAAAACTGTAGCTTTTGAGAAGTTGAAAGCAAGTCGGCAAGATATTATCCTCGTAGCATCACTAATTGATCGGATACCTAATCTTGCAGGATTGGCCCGAACTTGTGAGGTGTGCAATCACGTTGTTGTTTCTGTGCTTTGTGGATTTTGGTGTTGGTATGTGCATGTTTTTTAGTTTCAGGTGGTTCATTGTTCTTCTGATTAACTGATAGCAGGTATTTAGAGCATCTGCACTGGCCATTGCCAACAAAAACGTAGTGAAAGACAAGCAATTCCAATTGATCAGGTTCTGATAGTATTACTCTCTCTTGCTTTGCTTATACTGCATGTCTTTGGGCTTTGCTTTAATTTTTCACAATGCAGATGTAAAGAAATCTGAAGCAAGAGAGGTTGCAGTGAAATGGATGAATGATGAGATTTCTTGCCTTCATATAGAGAATAACTAAATCTTTCTATAACTAAAATTTTCTATCTCATTCATGTTAATATAATCGAGGATCTGATGACATCCTTGAATAGAATAAAGATGATGTCATTGCTGTTGCACTATTGAAAGAAATACTAGATTGCCTGATATAATGAACTAACCCACAAATTCATTGACGTCTCTTAATATTTCATCTCTTTGTGCAAAAACTAATGGAGTGTCAAGTAAAACTTATGGATTAACATTATGGTCAAGGTGATTTTAATGAAAGGAGCTGCGTGTTTACAGCAAATGGCTACAAAATGTACATAGAAAATTGATGATTTCAAGAAGAAGAATAGAGCTTCTTGTATTTCTGTATATTATTCACATCAAGAGTACTGATACTTATACAATGAATCCTATGGATAAACTAGGAAAAGAAATCAGTAATTGCTACAATTAAGCTACAGAATAAAATAAGCCTATAATTAGGCTAGAGAATAAATCTAATCTAATCAAATCTTCCTACTAATTACACTAATCAACACTCCCCCTCAAGTTGGTGCAAAGATGTCGCACATGCCCAACTTGCAAACCAAAGTGTGAAGTCTTTTTGCTGAGACCTTTTGTGAGCACATCTGCTAGCTGCTTTTCTGACGATACATGAAGCAAACTCAAGGTACCACCTACAATCTTTTCTTTGATGAAATGTCGATCAATTTCAACATGTTTTGTTCTATCATGTTGAACAGGATTATGAGCTATACTAATTGCAGCCTTGTTGTTGCAATATAACAAAAGCTTCCCTGTCTCAGACAATCTCAATTCATCCATTAACTTTTGTAGCCAAATCAGTTCACAAACACCCTGGGCAATTGCTCTATATTCTGCTTCTGCACTGGATCTAGCAACAACATTTTGTTTCTTGCTTCTCCAAGTAACTACATTCCCTCCCATGAGTGTACAGTAACCAGACGTAGATCTTCTGTCATCTAGAGATCCAGCAAATCTATAGGTGACCATGTTTAGAGAAAAGTAGACCCTTTCCCAGTGCAGACTTCAGATACCGCAAAATGTGAAAGACAACTTGCATATGAGGATCTCTTGGATCGTGCATGAACTGACTCACCAAGCTAACTGAATATGCCATATATGGCCTAGTGTGAGAGAGATAAATAAGTTTTCCAACCAACTTCTAATATCTCTCCTTATCAATAGACTTTCCAACCCCAGTTTGTAACTTGTGATTACTTTCAATGGGAGATTCTGCTGGTTTGCAACCTGTCATACTAGTTTCTTTCAAGAGATCTAAGATATATTTCCTTTGAGAAATAAAGATTCTTCTTTTTGATCTAGCAACCTCAATTCCCAAGAAGTATTGCAACTTCCGTAGATCTTTGATCTCGAATTCCTGGGCTAACAGCTTCTTCAATCGGGCCATCTCTTCATTGTCATTCCCTGTCATTACTATGTCATCAACATAAACTATGAGAAGAGTGAGTTTACCCTTTTGGTGTTTCATGAAGATGGTATGATTGACATTACTTTGTTGGGAACCGAAGGAGATCATTGCTTTGCAGAATCTGTCAAACCAAGCTCTTGGAGATTGCTTCCATCCGTACAAGGCTTTCTTCAATCTGCACATTTTTCCTTGACTTTGTTCGGTATCAAATCCAGGAGGAATCTCCATATACACCTCTTCTTCTAAGTCGCCATGAAGAAATGCATTCTTCACATCAAACTGTTGTAAGTCCCAATCAAGATTAACTGCACAAGACAAAAGTATTCTAATAGTGTTCATTTTTGCAACAGGGACAAATGTCTCCTGATAATCCACTCCATAAGTTTGAGTGAACCCCTTAGCCACCAGTCTTGCTTTGAGTTTCAATCGAACCATCAGCTTTGTGCTTCACAGTAAAGACTCATTTGCAGCCAACCAATTTCTTATTTAGTGGTAAAGTGACAAGATCCCAAGTCTCATTCTTTGACAAGGCCTTCATTTCTTCAATCATAGCTTGCTTCCATTTAGAATATGCAAAAGCTTCCCTCCAATTCTGGGGAATAGACACAAAAGAAATAGACAAGGCAAAAGCTCTATAGGAAGGAGATAAGGAATTATAGGAGACAAAGTTAGATAAAGGATGTTTGGTGCAAGATCTGACTCCTTTTCTGTGAGCAATAGGTACATCTAACTCACTAGGAAATGTAGATAACTCACCAGTAGAAAAAGTTTCAACAACAGAAGAGGGATGAGCTTCAGTAGATTGCACGGTGACTTCTTCAGCTCTCTTTTTTCTTGAATACTCAAATCAGGTTTATCCAAACGCCCAATAGTCTCCCCCTGAATTCTTTCTTTAATTTCACATTCTCCTATCTTAGTGGCTTCAATAGTGGGAATCATTTCAACAGTGGGAATCATCTCTTCATTCTTATAGCTCTCCCCCTAAAGAGGTGATGGTGTTTTATTGTAATAGGGCTCAGATTCTCAAAAGGTAACATCCATGCTGACGAAGGATCTCCTAGAAGGAGGATGATAGCATTTATACCCTTTCTGTGTTGGAGAATACCCAATAAAGACACATTTAATAGCTCTAGGATCAAGTTTTCCGGAACTCCTAGTGTGAACAAAGCAAACACAGCCAAACACCTTCGGAGGAACAATATAATCATTCTTACTCTTCAAAGCTTCGAAAGGACTCTGAAAATTGAGGTTTTTAAGTGGCATTCTATTGATAAGGTAGGCAGTCACTAGAATGGCATCCCCCAGTAAGGTTTTGGTAAATTCATAGTAAACATTAGAGATCGTGCCACTTCTAGCAAATGCATATTTTCCTTTCAGCAACCCCATTTTGTGCACTAGTACAAAGACAACTAGTTTGTGGATTATCCCAAAAGACTCCAAATACGCACCAAAATCTTTACCCGTATATTATGTGCCATTGTCAGTTCGCAAGATTTTTATCTTAACCTCAAATTGGGTACAAATCATCTTATGAAACGACTTAAAATAGGAGAAGACTTAATTTTTTGCCTTTAACAAATATACCCAAGTCATCCTAGTGCAACAATCAATAAAAGTAACAAACCATCGACTACCAGACAAGGAAACTGTTTAAGTGGGACCCCATATATCAGAGTGAATAGTTGAAAAAAGGATAGTACTTTTATTGTCACTTAAAGGATAAGAGTTTCTAGTGTGTTTGGCATTTTGACAAGCATCACAAGACAAAGATTCAAACTCAGTTCTAGAAAACAAACTAGGATATAATTTTTTTAGAACAAAAAAAGATGGATGCCCCAACCGTCTATGCCACTGTATTATTTCTTGGTTGACGTTCTTATTTCCTCCAAAAAAGGCTTGACCAAAGGCTCGAGTTCCATCAATCCAATATAAGTCATCATGCAATCTACCACTGTCAATCCTCTTCCTTGTTTGAAGATCCTGAAACACACAATAATCAAGAAAGAACTTGACACTACATTTTAGTTGTTTGGTGATGGCGTTAACAGATAACAAGTTAACGGGAAACTCAGGTACATGAAGAACTGATGACAATGTAATATCAGGTGTACAGATAACAGAACCTGTTCCAGAGACAGGAGTTAGAGAGCCATTGGCTATTCTGGCACAGTCCCCTTTGGGACTAGGAGAGTAGTTTTGAAAGCCTTTAGAGGAGCCTGTCATGTGTCTATTCGCACCAGAATCAATAATCCAAGAATTAAGATGGGCATTAAAGGCAATACTTGACTGCACATAATTTTAAGTCCCAACATTAGAAGTGTCAAGATTGTTCAGGAGACGGTGAAGGTGCTGAACTTCCTCCGAAGACAAAGTTTCATTTGAAGCATTTTCTCCGAATGTTTCCACATTTTCTGCAATATTAGCTTGACCCCTTGATAGACCGACACGCTTGCCTCCACGACCTCTAGTTGGTCTACCATGCAGTTTCTAGCATGTCTCTTTTGTATGTCTTGACTTTCCACAGTAGTCACAGTGCAAATGATCTTTATCAGAAGTGAACACCTTTGTTTGCTCATGAGACACAGTTAACCCAGAATTCTCGGTTGGTGTGGAATAAAGCATGACTCTTCGTCGGCTCTCTTCCTGTTGAACATAAGAGTGTGCATCCTCAAGAGAAGGAAAAAGAACTTTACCAAGAACTTGGACCCTGATCTGATCGTATTCTGGGTTCAAACCTAAAAAATCATATATCCTTTCCTTTTCAACCAATTTTTGAAAGAGAACTGCATCATCGGTACACTTTGCTTGGAGATCCTGATAGTAGTCAATTTCCTGCCATAACCCAGTTAACTCGGAATAGTAGTCAGTGATAGTCAACTCACTTTGCTTAGTGGCATGAATCTTATTTCGAATTTCAAAGACCTGAGCGTCATTTCCCTTACGAGAGTAAGTGCGCTTAGTGGAATTCCAGATCTTTTCAGCAGTATCAAGCAATAAATACTGTTTAGAAATTCGAGGGTGCATAGTATTCAAAAGCCATGTCATAACTAGGGAATTATCTGAATCCCACTGACTATAGCTAGCATCAGTCACAACAGGTGCTTTCTTTTCTCCCGTAATATAACTAAGCAACTTTCTGGACTTAATAAAAAGCAAACAATATCTTGACCAAGCAAGATATGTACCAGCCCCTCCAATTTAACTGTGCTAACTTGTGAAACAGAATTAACCATAAGTGAAAGAGAATTATCTGGTGATTTGGTGTCCCCCATTATTTCTTAATTAGTAGTCCAGAAGCTAAACTTGAACTTCAAGAAAAAAAAGCAGCAGCAACCTTACTGGAAACAAGGGCTGAGAAGCAGAGACCCTACCTCCGATGATAGAAAAAAAATTGCAACTGGGGTAGGGTCGAACTGTGCTGGCGACCTGAAGGGAGCAAAAAAAATTCCAGAAAAATTCGCCGGAAAGCTGTCTACTCGCCAGCGCGTGGGATTCACGCGCGCCGAAGCTGGAACTGTTGGTGGCGCATGGAGGCGCGTGCGGAGGTGTTTCTCGGAGCTGCTCACTGGGGTTTGGTCGCCGTCGCCTGAGGAAGCTTGTAGTGGTGTTAGTTTTTCCACACTACTGGTATATAATGGCTTCAATGCGGACAACCACCGTGAGGGAGGAAAAACTCGATCTCTTTCAAAGAACTGGAATCTATAGTGCTGCGGAGGGAGGAAACTCACCTCAAAATGGCAGCAGAGGCTCTGATACCATGATGATTTCAAGTAGAAGAATAGAGCTTCTTGTATTTAGTATATTATTCACATCAAGAGTACTGATACTTATACAATGAATCCTATGCTAATCTAGGAAAAGAAATCAGTAATTGCTACAATTAAGCTACAGAATAAAATCAGCTTATAATTAGGCTAGAGAATAAAATCTAATCTAATCAAATCTTCCTACTAATTACACTAATCAACAAAAATAAATAAATAATTCTTATGAGACCAACTGAAATTGCCTTTTTGATAAATAACATGTAGAACCAAGAAAATAAGCATCAATTAAGTAATATTAATCATATAAATGAACCGCCTTCCTTGATAAGAACTGCAGAAAAAACTTCAAACTTTTTTTGATTGGTAAAAAAGAAAAAAAACAAAATACAAAAGCAAACTTGAATTGAATGAGCTGGAAATTCACAACTTGCAAATCCTCTATACAAACTTTTGTTTTTTGTATTGGAACTTTAGATCAGCATAACCAATGGGAAAGTTACCTGGATAGGGAAAAATGTTGGGTTATCTAAGTTGGAGATGAAATGCTTGGTTATCTGGATAGTCATGAATTATGGGTTCCTTTGCAAATTGACTGGAATTATTTGTTGTACGTGTAGTGTAACTGCAGAGAAATGGGTGCCAATTGTTGAAGTCCCAGTTAGTAGTATGAAAGTTTTCTTGGAGAAAAAGAAGCAAGAAGGATTCTCCATCTTAGGTCTGGAGCAAACAGCAAACAGCATTTCTCTTGACCGATACGCGTTTCCTAAGAGGACGGTGAGTTTCATACAGTCAACATGGTGATCTCTTCTTCTTTCCCTTGAGTGAAAATTTTTGTGAAATTATCTTCACTAGTTCTGATTATAGATTTTGGTTCTTGTGGCAAATATCATAAGACTATTGCAGTAGCTTGTCTTTTGTTTTCATTTAATTTGAAGGGCTATTTTGTACCAAATATCAATACCTTCTAATGTTTATAGTATTCTATACCACGTGGTTTTTATAAGAAAAGGAGAAAGAGAGTGCTAATGCTAAACTTGAAAACGTGTGTATATCACTAATTTTGACAATAATACCAATTTTTTGTGAAAGGCATAAAACTATTCTTAAAAATTCTCTTTCACGAAAGGAATTAAAAGTTACGCTAGAAAGTAGTTTTAGATAATTATTCTAATCTTTCGACGTTTGTGTTTTTGTTATTGATTTAATTCATGATTCATAAACTAAACTGATATATTGATGTAACTCATGATTTTTTAAGACATTATCTTTGTAACGAGTCTGATGATTGGTTGAATATTTCTAGGTCTTAGTCCTTGGCCGAGAAAAAGAGGGTATACCAGTGGACATCATTCACATTCTGGATGCTTGCATAGAAATCCCACAGTTGGGAGTAGTTCGATCACTCAACGTTCATGTCAGTGGTGCCATTGCACTTTGGGAATACACTAGGCAACAAAGATCCAGTAGCTGCTGAATTACATTATGAACTTTTGTTCTGTGCAATATAGCTAATTGCTTCTATCAATCCTCATATTTATTGTACAATTACGAGTAATATATATTAATATAAAGAACACATGTATATGTACCCCTCAGTATGTGGTGACATTGTTGTTCTTGAGTGGTTCCAATTGTGTTATGAAAGATGTCCGATCTGCAAGTAATTTGAAGCTAAGGGAACAATGGTTCATCCTAAATGTTTCTCATTGGATTAGTATTTTCTCTGTGTTGTGTCTTTTCTCCTACCAAGTTGTATACAATAGGTACTTGTTTTGATTATTCAGAATGAAATTGCAAGCAATTGCTTCTTGTTTTGAAGTATAGCGAAGGCTGATGATTAGAAATGTTCTTCCCTTTTCTCTCCCCATGCAGCCACCATAAAACAAGAGGAGCTGATCCTCTTGCTTGGGGCCTTAATTTGGTTTCTTTACCACTTACCACAGAAAAATATCAATTCTATTTAAGAGATTACTCAGCCACCGAATTCTCAGGTTCAAATTTGGTTACCTCTGATCTGTGGGTTAAGTTTGTAATTGACTCGAGCAAAGTCTATTTAGGCAAACGAGACTTGTACTTCAACTAAAGGCACAAGCAAATAGCGAGCACAAAAGAGGAAATGCATGTATCTCCTTGAAGAACGAAGTCTAGGGTAGGAAAGAAAAGTGGAGTGAGAGCGTTGTGTGAGAAAAACAAAAAAAGACAACTGAAATTTGCAAAATGAAAGCCAAGAAGTTTGGACAAGTGAAAAAGAAAATGGAAGAAATAAAGCCAATGTTCTTGCAGAAAACCTGAAAACTTTATAGCAGTATATTTAACCTATTAGGTGACTATTAGCATGCTTTACTTCTACTCAAACCAGAAACTAAAGAAAAAAGAAAATTCCCCAAATAATAATCCATTCCACGCATAAGGAAGAGGTGCAAAACCAAAATGGACTGTGGTGGTGGTGGTTTGAAAATGAGAAAAACATGCATGCAAAACAGTAGTGCTTTAAAGGTGATTACTTTTCCTTCCTACAATATACCATATCTCTAGTAAAACAATGGCAGCCATTTTCACCTTCATTGCCCTCTCATTTATCATTATATGGGAGCCCTTAATGGCAAATGCAAAAATCTTTATAGTTCTAATGGAAGATGACCCTTTTGTATCTACAAAATCAAAGTAAAAACTCTAGCCTCTTTCTTAGCATGTTTGGTCTGACCATTAAGCATGCACTCTGCTTTACTATTGATTATTATGCCAAACTTTTTGCAGGAATTTTGAAGATTTTGATATCTACAAGGAAACGTTAAGAAAACAACATGACATGCTTCTAGAAAATCTCCTTGAAAGAAGTGTGTATACCAAAGTTTACAGCTACACTCATTTGATCAATGGATTTTCCATTCATTTGACATCTCATGAGGTAGGCATTTATATTTCTTTTTGACTTGATATAACTAACTACTTAAACATGTTACTTTTTTACTCTCTTTGACGAGCTAAATGCTCGAATAATTGAAAGTGTTACATTGCTGCAGGCCCTTGATATTCTAGAGAATGCAGAAGGTGTTAGAGCCATTTATGAAGATGTGAAGATGAAGAAGTTGACAACACATACACCTGACTTTTTAGGAATTCCTGCTAGTGTCTGGCCTAAATTAGGTGGTGCTACGGCTTCAGGGGCAGGAGTTGTGATTGGAATGATTGATACAGGAATCAATCCATTCCATCCGAGCTTTTTGGCTCAAGCATCAAATGGTGATCGCCGGGGTGTAGTTGTGAAAAGTGGAAAGTTCAAAGGGAAGTGTGTGACTGGGGATAGATTCCCTGAAACAGCCTGCAACAACAAGATAGTTGGAGCACAATATTTTGCAAGAGCTGCAACTGCTGCTGGTGAATTCAACGCCTCTCGTGACTATGCTTCCCCTTTTGATGCTGATGGACACGGAAGGCAGGTCACTTAGCATGAACCACATACTTTGTGTTATATCTTGTTGAGCCTCGCACATCGCCTAAGGGATGAGGATTTGGTATCCTCATATGGCTTGGGCAATCCTCACATCATGAGCTAGCTTTTGGGGTTGAGTTAGGCCCAATGTCCATATCTTTATCATGGTATCAAAGCCGGACCCATCCAAATTCTTTGTTTCACCGATGTTGGGTTCCCCATATTATATTGTTCCCGCTCCAGCTGGCAGGCCTAGGCGTGCGGGGTGGAGGGGAGGGGTGTTGGGTCTCCCACATCGGCTAAGGGATGGGGGATTTGGTCTCCTTATATGGCTTGGGCAATCCTCACCTGATGAGCTAGCTTTTGGGGTTGAGTTAGGCACAAAGCACATATCTTTATCATATCTAGCCTTTTTAATCATTATCGTTCTATTTTATTTGATATTTTTTAACGATAATGCATGTTCATAATCTATGAAAGATGTTTGAAAACAGCAGCCATACAGCGTCAACTGCAGCAGGAAATCATAATGTTCCTGTCATCGTCAACCATTTCAACTACGGTTATGCAAGTGGTATGGCTCCAGGAGCAGGGTAATCTTAGTATGCTGTTTTTATTTTTCTATCAAGAGTTTTACATGTGAAGTTTGATCTTGATAATGACAATGAACTGTGCTGTAACAGGATTGCAGTGTATAAGGCCATGTACTCTTTCGGAGGTTTCATGTCAGATGTTGTGGCTGCAGTAGATCAGGTTCCGCAATTGTCAATGAATAGTATTTAACTTGTTATGCATCTTTACCCCTTTTTTAGACTTTTCATAAGTTAAAATAGCTGAAACTCCTAGTTAATTTTGGCAAACTTTCTTATTGTTTAGGCAGTGGAAGATGGAGTGGATATATTAAGCCTTTCTGTAGGGCCAGCAAATGTCCCTTCCGGTCCTTCTGCTTTCCTCAATGTTCTTGAAATGCAGCTTTTATTTGCCACAAGAGCTGGTGTGCTGGTTGTTCAAGCTGCTGGAAATGGTGGTCCTTCTTCAACTTCCATTCTTTCCTTTAGTCCCTGGATCACAAGTGTTGCTGCCTCCACTACAGATCGTAGATATAATAATTCAATTGTTCTAGGCAATGGACAGAGCTTCTCTGGCAGTGGTCTTTCACGTTAAGTCCCCTTACCCCTTTCTTGCTGTTAACTTTCTCAGTTGATCACTGAAAATGTGGTTTCCACATCTTACTTTGCAGCCCCAACGCATTCAGGAACGTATTTCCAACTTGCTGCTGCATCTGATGTTTGTAAAGGGAACACTACCTCTGGCCTCTTGACAGTTGAGAGCTGCCAAGAGACAGAAACATTCATCCGAACTTTAGTTCATGGGAAGATAGTGATATGCACATACACTTTTGATTTTGAATCAGAGACGGCAAGCATAGCCACTGTTGCTGATACAATACAAAAAATTGGGGCTGCTGGCTTTGTACTGACAATGGATCCTGATATTGGCTCTGAACAAATTAAGGGAGCCACAATGACCTTGTCGGTACCTGGTCTAATCTTAAACAACATGGAGGCCTCTACGGTATCTATCTTGTATCCATAATACTTGATAAGACTATCAACTTTGTATTAATTCTGGTGCTCTTTGTTGTCTGGTGCAGGCTCTGCGCGAATATTATAACTCCAACACATTACGAAGTAGAAGTGGAAGGGCTATTAGTTTCAGAGCTACAGCAAGAATTTTGGACGGGAGACAAGCTAGTTATACCAAGCAGGATCCAGTTGTGGCATCGTATTCATCTAGAGGTCCTGATGTGAACAATGCATTCTTAGACACTGCTGATGTCCTTAAACCAAACATCATGGCTCCAGGTTCCTCGATATGGGCTTCCTGGAGCCCTACTAGTGAAGGAGATCGATACATCAAAGGTATAAATATACAAATGCTCATTTGACACACTTGGAAAACGCTACTCAAGATTTTTTATTTATTTATTAAATAGGGGGTAGGAAAGGGGGAATGGGGAGGAGATTATAAAGTTGGGAATCGAACCCTCACCAACAAGGTGAAGGTTCAAGTACCCAACCAACTAAGCTACGAAGATTCACCTGGTACTCAAGAATTATTTGTCATATGGTGCCTTTTTCAAATATCAATTATTTCTACTTTCAAGAATGGTAATATGAAACCACATCTTTTTACCAGGACAAAATTTTGCACTACTATCTGGAACAAGCATGGCTACACCACACATTGCTGGAATCGCTGCTCTAATTAAACAGAAGCACCCGGGATGGACACCTGCTGCCATTACATCCGCAATGATGACAACTGCAGATGTAACTGGGCAGTCAAATGCCCCTATTTTAGCTCAACAAACCAACCAGCTAACTCCTGCTACTCCATTTGATTTTGGATCCGGACTTGTCAATCCTTCCCGAGCCATTGACCCTGGACTTGTTTTCAAGGCAGGGTTTAAACACTATGTACTGTTTTTATGTTCAGTTCCAGGAGTCGATGAAATGTCTGTAAGACGAGCAGTTGGAGTTGGATGCCCGAACAAGAAAAAAGCATGGTGCTCGGATTTAAACACGCCGAGTGTGACAATATCAAATTTGGTAGGCTCAAGAAATGTGATCAGGAGGGTGACTAACGTAGGTGGTGTAGATGAAAAGTACCAGGTGATCGTGAAAGAGCCTCTGGGCGTGAGCGTTTCTGTAGCGCCACAAGTTTTTAAGATAATGGCCAATGCTTCAAGACATATTACAATTGTCCTAAATGCAACTCAGACAACCAATGTTTACTCATTTGGAGAAATCGTGTTCGAAGGTAACCAAAACCATAGAGTTCGAGTGCCTTTGGCAGTGTTTGTAAGCAGCACTTTACATTCATGATGCTCTTGTATATGTTTTCAATAAATAAACTATTCTACACTAGCTTACATTGTAATCAGACTAAGATTGTGATTGTGATGCAGTTTACCTAAATAAGGGAAATTCGTTCAGGTAACTTCTTCTAAGCTTGGGAGCTTGAAGTATATCCAACCCCCTCCAATATATAGGAGATAGAAAAATAAAATGAAATGAAGAGGGGACATGAAAGTAAGATTTAATAGGAATTATCACTCTTCAGTTTGTTAATGTATGGACCTTTGAACACCTTGATTCTTGGACTTAGTTGATGAGTCTGTTCATCGACGACCCTTTCGTAGTGAAGCAAACATTTTGGAGAATAGGCCAGGCTTTCTTTGAATCTGAAAGAAAGTGAGTGTTTTATAATGCAGATATTTTGTAAAAGCTAGAATTGCATAACATATCAATAAGCAACTTACTTGAAAACTTTTCACTATAGCTTTCATTTTATTGGTTTTAGAAGCCATATTATTCTTCTTCTTGGATTTCTTATTCTGAGGCATGAATGTTCTGAGGAACCTTGGCATAACAAATTTCCATCTTCCCATACAAGTTGGTAGACTTACATATCTTGGCTTGTTTTTCACTGCAACAATCTGGAAAAATGTGTTATAGATGGTTAGAAAATACTGCTACTGCAATTTCAGTCCTAAATATATGAGCTGTGTACAATGATCTTCTTCTTTATCCTTCCAACTTCCTATCTTATTTAGGCAATGCATATAATAATGATATTAGAACCTGAGAATTCTGTCTTTGAATTGGCTGTGGAGCCAAAGGTGTTGATGGCTGTGATTGCGCCGAAGCTCGAAGATTTCTTGAGTAGTCAAGAAGCTGAGCTTTTCTGTTGTATCCTCCAACATTAGCAACATGTCTAACATGAAGATGTTGATGATATTTGTTATTTGATGAACTGCTCCTCTTTCTCTTAGGCCCCTCTACAAGAACAGAAACATATACTGTCCTTTCTCTATAGTACGTAACCTAAACCATCAACAAAAAAAGAAAGCAACTTAGCATTATTTTTTGCAAGAAAATTCAAAAGAAGACTAAGGATGATCACTGCACTAACCATTCTTGTTGGCATTTTTTCTTTTTATTATTTTAATGGAGTGCCGAGGGTCTATTGGAAACAGCCTCTCTACATTCACAAGGTATGGATAAGGTCTGCGTACACACTATCTTCCCGGGCTCGCGGTGTGGGATGATAATAGGTATGTTGTTGTTGTTGTATTCTTTCAATGGGCTTCTTCTTTTTCCTTCCTTTTTTGTTGGTGGAGGTTTGGGGGTGGGGTGGGGGTTATTGAAGAAAGAGTGAAAGGAGTATATATGTGAAGAAATTGGAGATAAAGAAGTGGTGATCTACAAAAAATAGGAAAATGTTGGTTGATGGTTCATATAAAGTGGAATGCAGGCCTAAAGGAAGGAAGATAACTTGGTCTTAATTCATTGTTAAAATCGTAACCGAATATATATTATAATAAGGAAGGTCCTTCCAAAAAAGAAATCTAAATTATGATTAAGATAGATAAAATTAAAAGTAAACAATGAATTCTACTTTGAAAAGGAAATACTTTGTTATTGCTTTATGTTTACATTTCTTTCTCCTTTTGTCTTTATCATTTAGGTAATGATAAAGTAGAAAATGTTGTGTATGGTTAGATAATAGGGACATTTAAATCATTAAACTTATTGAATCAACATAGGTGGATTTTATGATGTGCTAGTATTACCATCCTATAACTCTTCATGTATTGTTATAAGCCTATAGCAACCACTCCTAGATTTTCTTCTTTTTTCCTCTTATGTTGTTGACAAGCTTAGGTAGGGTGCAAATATTAAATTTAATGAGAAAAAAGAAGTTCTAAATTAATTAATTTTTTGTGTTCAAAATTGTATCCACCGACAATTAAAAGCTAATTGTAAGTAACTATCTACATTGAACATGGACGGGTAACTTCAAAAGGAGGATAATTAATTTATTGTAACCGATCAAACTAAACGTATAAAAATTCTTTGCACTATCGGACGTAAATAAAAATTCTTTTAATTTTACTGGATTATACATGCTTTAAAAAAAATAATGCAAGATTTAGAAAAGGTAGCTTTCCTTTTCCTTCTTGCAATTAGTGTCCTTAGTGTTGTGCCCAGATTTTATTTTTTATTTTTTTTTAAAAAAAAGGTGTATTTGAGTTGCCTATAATTCTTGTCCACCTGTGACAATCTTTGGAGCATCAGTTTTACCATCTGATAATTACACCCCAACAGTTGAATCAATGATCTTGTAGCATGCGGAAGACACATGTTCGAGACAGCTTGAGTGCACTTTTATCACTTCACCGGATACTTGCTACCTTCCACTAGCATAGACACTCAGTAATTCTGTCCGCCAAAGACTTGAACATATGCGAAGAAATCATCTATCATTTTGTCGATTTCTTGTCTCTTAAGGTGGTTACATAAATAAAGGAATTGAAGTTAAGCTAATAAGCAAGCAGAGTCCTCTTCCGCCCAATTGTTGGGCTAAAACAACTCAATGATACTTTTAATATAGTGTAATATTGTCCGCTTTGGACCAAGCCTGTATGATTTTATTCAAAAGGCCTCATACCATTAAGATCCCTACAACTTATTAGTAGACTCTTAATCTTTTCCGCTACCAATGCGGGACTTTGTTTGTACACCTATCACCAATAATATCAGTTTCTTCTTTTTCATGGTAATTCACCATCACAGGTATTCAAAAACTACAGGTGAGTGACCAATTTTGGACAATGACAACATCAAAAGTATATCACAAACAAGAAAAAGTTCTTATTGATCAAAGCATCACTAATACAGAAACTAAGAAGTCAATCAATCTAACAAGAACCAACAGCAAGAGGTTGTCACAAAACTCAACAATTAAAAGAATCATTAACAACGAGAAGTTGACACATGTAAGTTTTGCCAAAGAAGAGCCAATGATACTGATATAGTCCGCCCTCAGAGCATTAAGGAATCCTACAGACAACCAATTCTCAAGCAATTGCTTCTTCTTTTTTTCTTTTTCTTAGCTTAATTCAAGGACACCTGGGATTCCATTGCAGACTTACCTTTGCCAATATGAAGCTATCTGTTCCAAACCTGAGTAATACCTCAAACACTGATTGAAGAATAGAGTTACAGTATACAAGCAACGCTCGAGGTTGAAGGATGACTATGGAATCTGATGAAATAGAACTATTATAGATCAGCTAAAAATTTGTTTACAACAAAGACGAGGAAAAAAAAATCATTGCCGGAAAACAAAATAAAAAAAGAAGAAAGATACATTGAGAACTAAAACAAAAAAAAAAGAACTAAAACAAAATGGCAAATACAATTCTACGCTCTCCTTTGACTGGCATCTTGATATCTCCTGATCACAGTCATCCAATTAAATACATGAAAATCAAAGATTAAGTGAGAAATGTGTTCAAGAGTCCTTTGAACTGCTTGAGTTCTCATCTTTCCAAGATGCTTGCCACTGCTTGTCATAAAAAGTAGACTCTTCCACCAACTTTTTGACTGTTTCTATATCCTCATTCTTGCGGATCAGAAGCACACCGGCCACAGCTATAAACAATAGTGTTTTGCAAAAGAAGTTGCCCATTTGGTCAACGAGGCCTACGCCAGTCAAGCTATCCACAAAATAGGCCATAAAGAAACCAACCATTGCAGCACGACCTGCATAAGATTTAAGTTACTATATTAGAGCTTTGTGTTTGAGAACTGGAAACAACTACCGGAAATAGGATAGGAGCAAACCATTGAGAAGTTCAGCTTCAGGAAGATGGAACCTCTTCATCCATGCCCACCAAGGAATAATGGAGGTGTCAAAAAGCACAGGTTCTTCATTACTTGACGACTCTGGATTATCTTCCAACCATTTCCTTCTCCTAACCTCTGCAGATGAATAGCCATTCGATTGTTAGTAAATCAAGCGATTTCATTTGAATGCCCCAAAAAGGAGGCTCTAGAAAAGGAGATGTAGTGATGTTTTCTACTCTTAATTACTGCTCGGTATACCTTAACTCGAGCTAAGACAATTTATAATTAGAAAACATCTAGTATATGTAACGACGAAGAAGAAAAAACTGAAAAATTATTAGTTGTACGCTATATTACACCATCTGAATAAACTGTTAGGTGATGGCTGACAATAAGCTCAATTCAAAGGCTTAGCAACTGAAACCGAGGAAAAACGATCAATACGTTATAGCTTTACTATTAAGAGTAACAACCACATAGTTGCTGGTTTAGTGCATCAACTTTGAACAAATACTCCCTTGTCATATACATTTGATATAAATTCAAGATGATGCATCAAGCATGAATCAAATCATCCTTTCCCCCAACAAAGTAATAAAATTAGTACTTTATCAAAAAGAAAGCATATCAAATCGACAAACTTTGGTCATGCAAGAAGGCTGAATGACACCACATCTACTCCATAAGTCATAGAAAGTTCCATATCTAGGTTAACCCCCTCTTTTCATTGTTCATCAGCTCCTGCTTAAGGATTAAAGACAAAAGTTTTTTTTTTTTTGGTTTCACATCCGGTGTCCGGTACCCGCATTGGGGCCGACTAAATCCGGATTCGCGGCGGGAAGTCCCACATTGGGGGTAAAGCGCTCCCTAGCAAAGGCGACCCCATCTAACCCAGACCTCTGGTTAAGGATGAAGCAGTACTTATGACTCCACCACAAGCCTTGTTGGTCTGAAGACAAAAGTTACTGGAACCACTTCTTAACCATGAACTTTTAATTCTTTGTGTAATCCAGATATCACTACTAAACAAACTCTTCATGCTATTCAACTAAGGAAAAACAAGTGTAGCTAGTATAAATATCATCCGAAACAGCATTCACTGTAGCCAGACTGAAGTAAAATTTTGGTAATCATAAGTTAAATAAATTAAATAAACTGAAAAAGAAGTTGCATGTCGAAAGAACAATAATCAAATTAATGGAGAAAAGGAGCAACATGCAAAGCAGAGAGGTAAAGACTCACCAGCATCAATAACAGAATCCCAATGGGTCTCTCCATCTTTCTTAAACTGATTCAAATCCCAAGTCCCACTAACCCATCTAGGATCTTGAAATTTTTTTACAGTCTCCGGTGCCGGAGCTCCGGTGGATGCAACCGGCGCTGACCCATTAGAGTCCAAAGAAGCCTCATTTGACTCCTCAGCTTTCACAGCACTATCCTGAGCTTTCTCTTCAGGTATTTCTGGCTCAACAGTCACAGCAGAAGCACTAGACCCATTATCTATGGCTCTCGGAGAACCCAAGAAAGAGAGATGGGGTTTCTTTAAAGTTAGAAAAGGATAAGGTTTGTGGGTTGAGTGATGTTTTGAAGGGGAGAGAGTAGGGAAATGAAGCGGAGGAGCAGAGAATAAGGCCATTGACATTATCGTAGCTGTTTGAAGAGGTATTGTAATGGCAGAGAAAAAGAAGAGCTTTTAGGACATTGGTATACTGATCTCTCAACAATCCTTAGCCGCAGAAATGGGGGAGGGCCTTTTGGATTCGTTTGCTTTGCTTAACTTTTAAAATAAAATACCCTTCCTAATAGTAGGAAAATACACACATATTTTCCTAATATGTGAATTATTGGTTTCTTCTCACATAGCACAAGGCCTTAAATCCTTTAAAATACGAGAGGCGTCTCTGTGACTAAATTCATATAGGGATGTCTACGGTAATTTAGCCATTAGCCATTCTTTTTGCTACTTAAACCGACCAATTGTTATTCATTTTGGATTGTCAATTTTACTATTCTATTTTAAGATAATTTATCCTAGAATTACTATTCCACCCTCATAAGCTACTCTATAAGTTATGTCGATATTATTTTTAATTATGGAATAACTTATCCCAGAATTAGTAATCAAACAAGGGATAAGGTGGTGCTAAATTTTTAACTCGAAATTATTTTTGCTTCTCCATCATAGCAACCAACCTCTTATAATATAGTTCAAGAAAGAGTCGTCTCATTTCCTTACTTCTTTCTAATTCATTCACTTCAAGACTGGTTCTGAACGCCGCGTGTTTTTACGATTTTAATCTAATTATAGTAGACAACCAAC